CTTTGCACTGTGGACTCTATCCCTGAGGGCTTGCAACTGGACTTGCTTGGCCTTTTGCGCTGCTTCTTCGGCGATGCTTCTAATAGGAAGGGTTATAGTAGCTCCTGCGGCTGGGGTAGTAGTGGTTGTTGATTTTGTTTTCAGGGGTTCTGGAGCTTTAGGTGCCATAAGAGGGATCGGCTCGGCGGCGGGTTTAGGTGGTTGAGGAGGGGGAGCTTGGCTGATTGAGGGGATTGTGAATTCGTCGTAGTAGATCTTGACGTGTTGTTTAAGTTCGCCGTATTCGTTCCATTCTTCGATTTCGACGAGGTCCTGGATGTCAAAAGGAGGTTTAGTAAAGTGATGGGAGAATGGATGGGGAATAAAAAGGGGGTTACTTACACCTAGGACGAAACCTTCTTGGACCAGACCGGGCAGCTTGCGCTGACGGCCGCTGGCGTCCTTGCCTGCGCGACGACCCCATAGCATGCGTGCCTTTTCATCGACTGCGATATCGATGGCCTTAAAGGGGACGCGGTTGGCGCGGAGGATGGTTTCGAGTCGGGATGTGGCTGTGACGATGTGGGATGAGCCGGCTGTCAGGGAGGTGTAGATGAAGAGTGCAGGGTCCGTAGAGTACGGCTTGGGCTCGCTGGGTGTAGAAGCCATTATGATGATGTCTTGTCTGTCTGACGGTGTTGTATGATGGTGGTGGCGTGTTCCGCCAGAGTTCTCTTCTCCTTTTCCTGGTATCGTCCCTACTTTCTATTTATTTGGTATTGGGGGAGATTGGGTTCCAGGCACAATGGGACGGGAACTGCGTGGTCGGCTACCAAACCACTTTTGCGGGGTCACTTCTGGCTTTGAGTGAGGGGCACGGTGGAAAGTTCTGAGATGCGCCGGAGGATGCAATTTGGTGATTTTTCTGATAATAAAATTAAAAATCTAAATAGACATGGGAACATAAGTCTTTGAATATTTCAGAGTCCAAGTAGAATAAAACAATTCAAGATGGCTCAATACCTATCCCTTGACATACTGTACAAGTGAGAAAAAGGGAGGTATGTATCGGACAAGTTTGAAGTCTAAATATACCGCGACATAAAGTATTTCCCAATACGCCGTGACAGTACATGAAACGAGGGGTCCAACATCAGATCTCCGCCGATTGCTATAAATGTTGTAAGTGAAATCACCGCAACTTATGGGATATGAGTTGATTTTATGACTAGCAAGGCTATTAGAAAAGTAGAATGAAGTAGCGATCTTGTTGGGTTAAGGTATAGATACGTAATATTACCCTTTCAGCAGGCATCGGGAACTTGGACAACATTTAACCACACCGTGTTTGAAAGAGGTTCCAAGGAGGTGAGCATTCAGTTAATCGCTACGCCCTGATGAAACACTTTGATGGCAGCACCATCCCGACGCAAAGCTCACAAGTGATGGCATAGGGAAAACGGAAGAATCCGGAGCCCCAGGCCATAAACTATGGTCGGCCAGGCCCGATGATGTCGCCGACGGTTGAAAGGGGCCCGATCAGATTGGCGGGGAGTCCTTGTTGCCAGGTCTTGGAAACACCATAGTCGAGATATGGCTCGCGTCCTCAATATAAAGGACCCCAGATGTCGGGTGGGCCTGCATTTAACGGAGATTGAAAGGGGAATCTGTTGTGCTTGGATCGACCTTGTTCCACCGCCTACCCACGAACAATCCACAAATCTCTTTTAATTTGGGGGACTTTGCGGTTTCAAGCCCATGGCGCTTTCGGTCTTTCCAAATCGCTTCGATTCTGCCACTCAACTGGCAGATGACGGATAGCAACACCGGATTCTCGATTTCGTGCTTTCAGCCCTCATTTCCCATGCGCGAATCATGCTGCGTGCCGTTTTGTTTGGTGACACCGTCTTCATGTTGTACACGGTGAAAATTAACCTGAAATCCGTATTTGCTATCTTGCACTACCGAGATGGCCCCCGTGGCCCCCTTCCAAGCCAAGCACCTGCAGAGCCTTCTCGACTTTCTCTATACCTTCCAAATGTGGCCTCCCGCACCAATTTAGTCGAGCGGTGCTTTTGTCGGAAACTGGCGTGCCAGGGCGGGACTCCTTGCGCGTGGCAGTGTGACTCCTCGCCTCAACGGCACATCACATCATGATGCAAAAAATTGAAGCCGAAGAGGCCGAACGAAAGAAAAAACTTCTCTGACAGAAATGGTACGTGGCAATCAATAAATGCAAGTCTGCTGTCATCATTCTGCGATCCGATTGCTGATTTGATGAGTTGTTGCTTCTTGACCAAGGCAGACGGGGCCGTTGAGTCTGTCAACCTGCAGGTACGGATTGCGCTAGACAGGGGCAGCAAAGTTGCCAAGCGAAAGGATCCACATCATCCAAACTGGTTGGTTGACATTTTTACATCTCCTGTCGTTCCTGCAGATGAGATGACATCTGACCAATGAGAGACGCCCGCTTCCGAACTGCTTTTCCTGCTGCAAGGTACGCGGCACTCGTCCGACCCAGGAGTCGCCATGGCTAGCTATGACCTGAATCCCTGCTCACATCCGCCCCCCCGCTGCAACCCATGGCCCCCAGAAATCTCTGTCCCTTCGTTGGGTTCCCGTCCTGAGTGCCTGTCTAAAAGGAAGCACTCCCGCCCGTCAGCCGCTTCGCGCTTCCCTTCTCTTCTTCTTCACCCAGCCATCCCAGCTTCGGAGTAACCACCACATTCTCTTTTTCTGCTTTTACATTCCGGCATATTTCTGCCTCACACTCTTTTTTAAAAAGCATCTTCATTCAACCAGGTTACTCTCGTCGTCGAGTTATTTTTCACTTCACCACACAAAAACACAACATATTTCAAAATGCAGTTCAAGAACATCATCGCTGTCCTGGCCGCTGGCCTCTCTGTGGCCTACGCCGAGGAGGACATTACCACCACTGAGACCTCTACTCTCACCCAGACCCAGACCGTCACCATCACTCAGTGCAACCCAACCAACACTGCTTGCCCCAACTACAGTCCCTCCACCTCCACCGTTGCTACCACCACCTCAACCGTCACCTCGTGGAGCTTCCCTCTGTCCAACGGCACTGCCACCGTCGGTCCTACCGGCAGCGTCGGCTTCACCACCAAGCCCATCATCACCCAGACCACCGTCGTCGAGGTTCCTGGCGAGACTGGCCCCGCTACCACTGGCGTTCCCACCGCCGGCGCTGGCGGTCTCTTCGTCCAGCCCGCTCTCCTCCTTGGTGCTCTCGGTGCCGCTGCCGCTCTCCTGGCATAAGGGAAATTGTATATCGTTTCACCATAGCGCGCACATATTTTGACATTAGAACCACCGATCTGGCATTGATGACCCGCATACGAATCACACCAACACAGCCTTCGCCATTTCTTTGAGATTTTTTTACTTCACTTCGTGGATCATATAAGCGACAAACAAGGAACGCTTTATTTAATTCTTCGGGGACAGAGATGATTGGGGATCTTTTTTTACGGAGTCTTGTTTTTTGATACCTCAGGGGCGCGCTTTTTTTGGAACCGAAAACAGCGTGACAAACACGGACAGCAGCACCACGGGTGTTTTTTGAACATTGAGGGGGCTACTGGCTGGCATTTGGTTTTCTCTTCTCTTTGGGCATTTTATGTTTAGATTTGGGAAGGACAAAATCTGGTGTGAGGAGGAAAAAAAGCACCAGAGGGAGTTTGTTTTTAAAGGGCTCGAGGATTGTTGTTTACTTGGTTTTGACTGCATATAACTCTATTCTCGGCACGAAAATGAAAAATGATAAAAACTACTCCCTTTGGCAACTACTTTCTGTGATTTTTTTTGATGTGTGTTTATTATGTGATGGTTCATATAGGGTTGATCTACACGGGATGGTTGATGCTGATCAACCGTTGAAGGCGGCCGTTACACCTGATGTTGGTCGTGACCACCGGCCCGTGGGAACGGTTACCTCGTGGCATTGCTGCAGTAATCTTCTTTGACTTTGTTCGTCTGATGGCAACGGTTACGCCATCCTGTGACTTTCACAAAGCATGTCCACGTGGATTAATTGCCGATACTCGCAAAGACAACTTGAACAACAATGAACAATGCATATCAAGTGCGACCTATCATTTCCAAGTTTCCAACTCGCATATGACTTTCTGGGATTCGCATATTACCATTTTCAGTAGATGGTGTCTGCTACTGTTGGTTCGTAAAATTACGTGCTCATCCTTTGCCGCTCTGGTCACGAGTTTGTCGGGGGTGATACATAACAACCAGCTTGTGTTGGGGAAGTCTACTGCGCGCTGTGGATGGAGCTGGAAACATAGCTTGGATCGGATCATGGTGTTTTGTGTACATATTATACAGGACACATTAAATCACTGTTTTATCAAAGTGCGAAAATAAAAATAAAAGATATTAATTCTAATTCTAAAACCTAATTTTAAAAACCATGTTGCTTGACCATTATCAAGAATTCGGATTCATGTTATTTCTATTAATTCCAGGCCATAATTTCATATTTTATGGTTTTGTTTCATGGACGCAAGTTTCCATTACAACTCATCTTTCTTCCCGCTCTCATCACGATACCTGCAACGTCCCATCCTGCATTTATGGCAAAGCCTTTGAGACTCCTTGATATATTCTTGATATCGATGGACTTCCAAGTGGTAGCATTGTTTCTGAGCTTGAATATAAAGAGATAATTAATGGGGGTCAGCGGTTATCTAGGGCTGTGACTGAGTGATGTTTGAGTTGAGGAGTAAGTGAGTTGGGTCAATTATTGAGAAGCTTTGAGGTTTATATAGTAGAGTGCCTCGAGCTGTTTATAGTAGATGTCGGGTGAGGTATACGAAGTGTGGTGAAGTCGTGTGAGGTTTTGATACGTGGCAGTGATACACTTAAAAACAAAATTAAAAAAAGATTATTATTATTGATCTTACGCCGCTGGAGGCGGTGCCTCCATCCCTATGGGATATGCGGTCCCTCTACAATTATTTACACAATTAAAAAAAAGATATTGTCCTCGGTCGGATTCAAACCGACGTCTTCCGCTGCCCTTAGGTATTCGCTGGGGTGAAAATCAAACGCTAAGAAACTTCAGATGCTAACCATTGCGCTACGAGGACGAAAGACTTGGTCAGAACTGGAACTTAAATACCCTCCGGAGGGCCAGGCAGAGGAGAGTGTGGGAATGAGGAAGGTTTTGGTTGTGGTTGGTTTTGTGGCTGGTGGAGGGGTAGAAGTTGACAGGCACGTACAGGTGGTTGATACTGATGATTGACGGGGAATCGAGAACGGGACTGTTTACAATGCTGTGGGCTGGGAGTACAGGACATTCGTTGTCGTAACAGTGAGAAGGTGTCACATTTTACGGAACGTGAAGATGGTCGTCTTTACTGAAGTAGGCTTTGGTGGTGTTACGTGTTCGTCATCAAGCTTGACTCACGATAACCTGAATATGGAGAGGATTGAGGTTGTGGACTTGAGACTATTTCTCCGTCTCTCGATTTCAGCTAAGTCACCAATACCCTCCAGGACCACTGACAGGGTGACATAACTTCCCCGGGTCTTAACATGTTTTACCTACCTTCTAGATCTGAGCCAAGAAGCACAAGACTGATATCCCGTCCCGAACAACGGTACCTGTAGTTGAATAGGTATCTTCACGAGACAACATGGGGTTCCTCAGCACATTTCCACAGTCATATCAGTGACCATACACAGTATAGATACTCTTGAATCACAAGAAGGGATGTGGTGATCTGTTTTCCAGTCCGTGATAAGGTCTCACCCAACCCTAGGCCGCCACTTACATCATGCTCAATCCACACAACCCACCACAACCAGAACCAGAACCTTTCCACGAGCACAGCCAGACTATTCCCCGGGACTATTTAGATTCCAGAAAGAGTAGGAAGAGTAGGAAGAGTAGGAAGAGTATTCCTTCCGTCCTCGTAGCGCAGTGGTTAGCATCTGAAGTTTCTTAGCGTTTGATTTTCCCGAACCACCTAAGACACCAGGAGACGTCGGTTCGAACCCGACCAGGGATACATTCTCTTTTCTTTCTTATTTTTTTTTCTCTTCACTTTTTCTCTTCACTTTTTCTCTTCACTTTTTCTCTTCACTTTCACTCTGATCCAAGTTTTATCTTGGCACAAGATTCGTCTCAAAACCAAGTTGCAATTTACTTATGGCTGAAAACCCATCCATGAGCACGTGGGCGATGTGGACAATGGTAAGGAACGGATGAATTTTCATCTTCACTCCCATCAAGCACAATATACACGTGGATGATCCCATGGGAGCTTCGTGGTCATTTGTGTTCAGCTAAAAATCGGATGTCTAGGTATCTCCCTTGTTCGTGTCATCGGTATTCTGCGAGACTTGAAACCGCTACACCATTACTCTCGGTGCCAAGTGCTTGTAAGTAAGCGTAAGGCATCTCGACTAAACGATAGGTAGTTGGAACCAAAAAAAAAAAAAAAAAAAAAAAAAAAGGCCTCTGATTTAAGATAAAGAAATTTTTGTTTTTAAACATTATAATTTAAGTTTAAAAAAAAAACAAAAAAACTTAGCAATGCCAAGTATTCTTTACCAGCC